TAAAATCCCGTTCCTGTGGAATCCTCCAGGGGAGCTCCGGCACGAAACCCTCCTTTGGGCGGGATCCTGAGCGGCCTCAGAGCACAGCCGCCACCCAAACCCGCCGAGCGCCTTTGGGTCAGGGCTTTCGGCCCATTTTCCACGATTAAAGGCGAACAAGCGTGAGGGAGCGGCCTCCGCTCCTGCTTCAGAGGCCTCGCTGCTGTCTCAAACCGGGAGCGACCGGGCGGGGGGCACCGGGCGAGTCCCACGGGACGGTCGATCCCAACAGCGACTCTTCCTCCCTTCTTTCTTTTTTTCCTCCCCTCCCGCCCGCCCTTGCAGGTCCCTCGGGGCACCTGTGCCGCCGCCCGCGCGTTGTGGCCGCTGCGCCTGAGGCCGGGCCTGGCCCGGGGCCGCCCGCCAGCCATGGCGGGCCCGGTAACGGCCCAACGGTTCCCGCCTCCCGCCACCTCTCGCGAGACGCGCGCGAGCGCCGGGAGGGGCCGCGGCGCAGTGTGGGGCGGGTAGTTCCGCCGGCGGCGCGGTGCATTGTGGTCCGCGTAGTTCCGGGGCGGCGGCGGCGGCGGCGGCGAGAGGCCGCGCGGGCCTTGTGGGAGCTGTAGTTCGGCGGGGCCGCTCGCCCCGCTCGCCGCGGGTGTCCCCCCGCCCCGCGAGGCCATGCCGGGCTTCACCTGCTGCGTACCGGGCTGCTACAACAACTCGCACCGCGACAAGGCGCTGCACTTCTACACCTTCCCCAAGGACGAGGAGCTGCGGCGCCTCTGGCTCAAGAACGTCTCCCGGGCGGGCGTCAGCGGCTGCTTCAGCACCTTCCAGCCCACCACGGGCCACCGCGTCTGCAGCGAGCACTTCCAGGGCGGCCGCAAGTCCTACCTGGTGCGGGTCCCCACTATCTTCCCGCTGCGCGGCGTCAACGAGCGCAAGGCTCAGCGGGCCCGGCGCCCCCGCCCCGCCGCCGCCGCCGCCGCCGCCCCGCAGGGCCCCACGGCCGCCGCCGAGGCCCCTGCAGGGGGCGCGGCCGAGGACGTGAAGCCCATCGACCTGACGGTGCAGGTGGAGCTCGGGGCCGCCGCCACCATCGGGCCCAGCCCCGTGCGGCTGCCGGTGCCGGTACCGGCGGCGGCGGCGGCGGGGGAGGAGAGCCCGGTGGAGGGCGGCCCCCCCGATCACTCGTACTCGCTGTCGTCGGGCACCACGTCGGAGGAGCTGCTGAGGAAGCTGAACGAGCAGCGCGACATCATCGCGCTGCTGGAGGTGAAGATGAAGGAGATGAAGGGCAGCATCCGCCGCCTGCGCCTGGCCGAGGCCCAGCTCCGCGAGGAGATCCGCGAGAAGGACCGGCTGCTCCACGCCGCCAGCGCCGGCACCCGCAAGCGCCACGGCCTCTGAGCGCTGCCGGCGCCCGGCCCGGCGCGGGGCTCTCCGTCCCGGAGCCTCCGCCGCCCTCGCTGCGGTGCCGGGCACGGCAGAGATGGGACGGACCGCGGCCCCTCCGTGCCCGGCTCTGCCCACGCCACAGCAGCCCCCGGCTGGGCAAGGCCGTCGGGTTCCCCCGCCTGGACTGGATCAGCTCGGTGCCCAGCGCCGTTATCGCCCCGACGTTGTCTCCGGTGTCACCTCACGCCGGGCCCATCAAACCCGCCGTGTGCGGGGTCAGAACGCGCTGCTCGTAGCGTGGATGGGACCCGAGCCGTCTCTAAGTGGACGTAGGGTATCGGTTTTCAGCAAATAAACTCGCTCTGTGTCAAGTGAGGTAACAGCAACACTACCCTGGAGAAGGCGTGTCCGACTGCCCTGGGCGCTGTCCCCATCGCAGGATGGTCGGTGATGTCGCGTTCAGCCTCGCTCAGTGGAGGAAAGCTTTAGAAACCCTCTCAGGGTGATGTGTTCTTCAGTAAATTACTGATGCCATAAAAGACTGCTGTTCCTAGCGTGACAGAACCCCCAGATTAAAGAGTGTTCTTGTACCCGTGTAGTTTCTGCTTTCTCTGCAGCGTGTGTGTATTGGTTACAGATGTCTCCATGCTCTTGACACCAGTAAGGATTACAGTCTGGTACAAGGAACACGGTGGCATTTAACAGCTGTAGTTTATCTCATTGGCTTAAGACTCCCTCTAATGAAATGGAGGCTTTGTAACACATTGGAATTTTAATCCTTGGCTTTCGTTCTGAGATCCAGGATGAAACAGAAGTGACTTTACCTGCAGTGGTTGCAAACCTTTCCTGTCTAATCCTAAACTAGTTGGCATGACTAATAATCTGTACATTAGGCAAGACCATACTAAAACCTGCTTGTGTGTTCTAAACCAAGATTTACGAGTATTGTAACAAATCTATGTGGAATGGTTGTGTAGTTTCTGTTTCTAGCCAGCATCAGTCCCTTCACTTTCTGCAACAGGAAACCAAATCAGCGTTGGCTAGAAAGAGGGTGGAGTGAGGGTAGCAAAGCCACGGGTTTGGCTTGGTTATGCACTTCCAGCCTGGCTGGTGGAACACATCCCTCAGCAGCTTGGAGGAGGAGGAGAAGGGGAGTGTGTGGTGCCCCAGCATGGCCCTGTGGCAATGGGCAATGAGGATGGATGTTGAGAACAAAGAGCACTTCACCACAGTGTGCCCACATTCACCTTGGAGGGAAGAATTCCCAGGTGTTCCCTGGCTCTGTGAGATCCTTCTGGAAGCGGAGTGCATTGTGCTCAGTAGATTGGGATGTCACTTTTACTAAATTTTATAGAGGTATTTTCTAAATGTAAAAAGTATCTTTAGTTTGAAATTATGTAATCTTTGTAACACTGGCTAATGTAGCTTTACAACCATCAGCTTCAACACTGTATACAGCCGAACAAAAGGGCACCGTGGGGTTTTGTAGCCGGAGGTTTCTCTGTAGATCCTGAAGCCAGTTCAGCTCCAGGTTGTCACAGCCTGCTATGTGATGCATGGGTCATTTTTTATTAACGTGTGTGCCAAGTTGGATGGTCATCTGTAAGGATGCTACATGTCTATCCATGCACCAAGTCCTTGCTGTTACTTCAGTTTAATTTATTCTCAATCTGATATGTGGCTCTCCAGCTCTGTGCTGTACTGATTTTTCTGCGAGTCGAGTTAGCGGCGATTTTTTCGTTGGGTTGGTTTGGCTTGTTGTTTTGGGTTTGTTTTTGGTTTCTTTTGTAGGACAAGCAGATACCTGCTCCACCATAGGATCTAACATTTGTGATTGGTCCAGCAGCTCTAGATGCTCCCACCAAGAGAGTCGGCAGCACAACATCCCTCCTTGCAGACGAGGCTGGTTGTGCCTCTGAGCCCGTTCAGAGCGTGCATGTCCTGACAGTCAGGGTACTTTTCCTACCATCAGGAGGCACTTCAGGATGTTCAGCCATTTGGCCTTGCTGGACTGGTTACCTGCTGGACTGTTTGACTTCTCCAGGTTACACTGAGGTGCTAACATGCTTAATTTTAATAAAGTATATTTTGTTTTCTTACGTTTCCTGTCTTCTTGTGGTTTATCTATCTATTTCTGAAAGGTTGTGGCTGTAGCTTTGTCTTTTCTTTTGTAACATCTTTTTTTCACTGCCAGCTCCACAGCTGGAACAGCAGGAATATCTTTACATTCATGTGGGGTGAGGAGGAGGAGTTTGAGCTCAGTTCAGTGTACCACACACCTACCTGCGCAGAGGTTGGAAGCATCAGTCCCAGGGTGCTCTCTGTGCAACCTGGAGGGATTTGAGCAGGGAACCAGGTTTCCCCCGGCATGACTCTCCTGTCTAATGCCTGGTGGAGGAAGGAGAAGGCATGGCCTCCCATGAACCAGCCTAGTGCAGGGAAGAGCTTGCTTGTACTCTTAGGACTTGTAATTCCACTTGCCAGAGTTCCTGGTTTCAGATTGGTTTAGAGCTATTAGTCTCAAGCAAATATATGCAGCAAAAACTTTCAGCTGTGCCTCAACCATCCATTTTTATGTTAAACTGGGATTGTTAAATGCAGTTGCAGGATGGGGAGGTGATGGTCCCACTCTGCTCTGTGCTGGTGCAGCCTCACCTCGAGTTATGGGAGCAGATTTGTGCACCATAGTACAAGAAGTATCTGAGGCTGTAACAGAGCATCCAAAGGAGGCCGTGAGGCTGGTGAAGGGTCTGGAGGGGAAGCCATGTGAGGAGTGGCTTGTTCAGCCTGAAACAAAGGATACTGAGGGCAGAGCTCATTGTGGGCTTCAGTTCCCTCTGAAGAGGCACCAGAGGGGCAATGCTGCTGTCTGTGACCAGTGATAGAACCTGAGGGAACGGCTGAAGCTGTGCGTGGGGAGGTTTAGGCTGGATGTTAGGAAAAGTTGCTTCACGCAGACGCTGGTCGGGCTTTGGAGAAAGCTCCCCAGGGCGGTGTCACAGTACGGCGGTGTCACAGCCAGCGGTCTGATTGAGCTCACGGAACGTGCGCACAACGCCCTCAAGTGTAGCACGGACCGGCAGAGCCGCCCAGCGGTGTCAGGATGGCCGAGCGGTCTAAGGCGCTGCGTTCAGGTCGCAGTCTCCCCTGGAGGCGTGGGTTCGAATCCCACTTCTGACAACTGGAGTATTTTTGCGTTAGGCTGGCCTGTAGTTAATTAGTTAATTGCTTTTAATTGCGCGCTTTTGGTCGCTTTTCTTTTTTTTTTTTCCATTCCCGCTCCCGCCCATCTTCCGCAGCTAAAAGCACCCGCAGGCGGCGCAAAAGTAGCTGTCAGAAGTGGGATTCGAACCCACGCCTCCAGGGGAGACTGCGACCTGAACGCAGCGCCTTAGACCGCTCGGCCATCCTGACCTGCTGGGGCGAAGTCCCTTGTAGCCGCCTCCAATCCCAGATCCCAATCGAACCGCTGTGTCCGGTCACTGCTGGGACAGCCCCGGGACACCCTGAGACACCCCCAGGACAGCCCCGGGACAGCCCCGGGCCCAGCCCTGCGCCACGGGCTGCATTAACGACCTGCGTGATGGGGCCCGGATGCCCTGAGCACATGACACCAAACTGGGAGCAGTGGCTGACAGTCCAGAGGGTCCTGCTACCCACCAGAGTGACCTGGACCAGCCCGGGATACGGGCTGACAGGAATCTCCCGGAGTGGAGGCTGATGAGGCGCTACGCAGATTGACCTGAGAAGCTGGAAGATTTCAAGGCCACGTTGGAGCCAGTCCAAGGGCTTGGAGCAACCTGCTCTAGTGGAATGTGTCCTTGCATGGCAGGAGGTCGGAACGAAATGCCTTAAATCACTTCCAACCCAAATTATTCCAGGATTTAACAAGGAGACGCGTGTCGCCCGGGCCCCGCCGAGGAGCAACGCCAGGCACCGGGATGCGCCGGATGCCACCGAATGTCCCCGGTGAGCACCGAGCAGGACGCGGCTGCACGGAAGGTTGCGGTGTCCCGGGCTGCTCCAGCAGAGCATCGCCGGGATACGGGGAGCGGGGGCCGTCGCGGTGGGGCCGCCCTTTGTCGGCGGTGCCCCGGTACGGGGACACGGCCGCACACCGGGAGCGCAGCGCGGCGCCGGGCGGAGGCTCCGGGGGCTGCGGGGCGGGGGCAGCGGCGGGGTCAGCCCGGCCGCCCCGGAGCCACCCGCGCCCCGCCCGCGGAGGGGCCGTCCCGGGGCCGTCCCGGGGCCGGTGCGCGGCATGGCGGGGCTGCCCGGCGCCGCCAGAGCCCGGAGCGCCTCCCCGGGCTCCCCCCCGGCCCTGGACGGCTCCTTCCTGCTCTCGCCGCTCGGGGGGCTGATGTGCGCCCAGGCCGTGAGTACCGGGGAGGGGGCGCGGGGAAGGAGGGAGGGCATCACCCACTCGGGGGCTTTTCTGCAGCTGGAAACAGCGCGGGCTCTCTTCGGTTGCCACTCCGACCCCATCTCCGCTGTCTAACCCTGAGTAATCCCCAACCCTAAGACAGTGCAGCCTCCTCTCTCCTCCTTCACTCTGTAAACCAGAGGAAAAGTCGGATTCTTGTCCTCACTCCCCTTGCCGGTTGTGACTTCGCTCAGTGCCGGGTGGTTCCCAGTGCCAGGCGCGGGCTGATCCGTGCGGGATCTCCGCAGGGCACAGCCGATGGGTCGGGGTGCGTGGAGCCCGGTGACTCCAGGGGAGCTGTGCTGGGGGTGCCCGTGAGGCTCTCACGCTGCCTGGAACACTCTCAGCTCTCCAGGTTGTCCTTCCAGCCTCTCAGAGGAGCCCAAGGGTCCTTGTCATCATATCGAGCAGCAGCATCACTGCCCGTTGCTTCAGCATCGGAGGCAGCCACAATAATCTCCCGCTGGTGCTGTCCCCGGGACCACGGTGCCGCATGAACGCACAGGGGTGGGAGTTCAGCTTCGGACCGGGCCATTCGTGACCTGCCCACGGTGCTGCCCCTGGGCCTGGGAGCCTCTTTGCTCGCCCCCTCTCCTCGGGGCAGCGTTGTGGGATGTGCCCTGAGCAGCCACTGTGAAACGGCTGGCACAGACCTGGCTCCTGGCTCCAGATTCCAGCCCCTGGGCATGGCTGAGCTGGTGGTGGCATAGAGACAAACGCTCAGGGTAGGGGCTGGGCAGGATGCTGCTGGGGGTGCCTGGTAGAGCGCCAGGAAAGAGAGATGGAAGCAAGGCCAGCAGCCGAGACCTTCCAGCTCTGCAGCTGCTCCCACCTCTGCCGCCCCTTGCTCAGGGCTCGCTGTTAAACCTCGCCCTGCTTTCCCCCGGCAGCAGCTCACGCGTGCCACCTCCCACTCCTGCAGGAGCCCCCTGCGTGGTTCTCCCCAGCACATATTTTGTGATCACGAGCGTTAGAAATGGATGTGACGGACAAGGAGGCATTGTCGGGGCAGCCAGGGCGTTGGGCGCGGGCAGGACAAAGGCTGTTGTGTTCCTTCCATGACAACGGGCGGTGCGGGCTTACACAGGGGCACGGCGGCTTTCCAAGGAGCCCTTCTCCTGCCCTTCCACTGCCCTCCTGGAGTGAGGGGAACACAGCTGCTGTTGGTGCTGGTGTGCCTGGGCTTGTGGGCGATGTTCTGTGCTCCCCCTGCAGGAAGCAGCCCCTGAACAGGTTCCCTTCTCCCCGCACAGGTGCTCGGTTTGCTGGTGTGGTCTCTCATCGCCGCCACAACGTACCACCTGCACGCGGCCTACGGCTGGGTGATGTTCGTGTCCCTCTTCTTCTGGATACTAACGCTCCTTTTCTTGGTGATTTACCTCCTGCAGCTTCATCAGAAGTTCTACATGGTCCCCTGGCCCCTTGTGGTGCGTAGCTGAGAGGGGGTGAGGGGGGATCCCAAGAGGGAAACATCTTGGAAAGGTGGTCTGGGAAGGCTTCAGTCTCTTCTGGGCTGATGGAACCGAGTCCCCTGCACTTTGCACAGTGATGTTGTTTCATTCTGCCCTTGAATTGCTTAGAAAATGCTCAAACCAGAAAGTCCTGTGTCAATCCAGAAAGTTACAGCCACCAACTGCTGCAGTTGTGGGTTCATCCAAAAACCTCCCAGCACAACCTGGGGAGCATTTAATGTATTCTGGGGAATGGGGAGGAATGTGAAGCTGAGGAATGCGAATGCCCGATCCTGAGCCCAGACCTCAGGAGCTCCTCTTTGTTCCCCAGCTGATGATCTGCAACGCCGTGGCCACCGTGCTGTACATCACGGCCTTCGTGACGTGCGCGGCCGCCGTGCAGCCCACGTCCTGGCGGCAGTGGGACTACAACCGGCGAGCCGCCGCCTCCGTGAGTACCGGCGGGAGGGAGGGAGGGCAGGGCCAGGGCAGCCCCCAGCTCACACGGGATGGATGTGTGCTCCTCTTCCAGTTCTTCGCCTGTGTCACCATGATCACCTACGGGGTGAGCACCTTCTTCAGCTTCCGCGCCTGGAAGGGGCTGGGCAGCAACGCGGCCACCAGCCAAGTGAGCGACCACGCGTGAGGAGGAGTGGGCAGCAGAGCCCGGCCACCCTGGGGCCACCCCGGGGCCACCCTGTGCCAGGCTTGGAGCCTCGTGTCCCACCAGGGCCCGTTCTGGGAGCAGCCTGTGCTGGCAGCAGCGCTCAGCACTGGCTCACGTGGATGCTGCCCTGTGGTTTCTGAGGATGCGCCCAGCTGATGTGCCCTCAGCACAACACGGACTCGCTGGGGCTGCGGCTCCTGCTCATCCCCAGGGCTCATCTGGATCCTCAGCAGAGCAGCTCCACTCAGGGGGCTCAGCCAGTCTGGCACAGTGCAGTACTAAAACTGACTAACCCAAGCCCAGGCTCCCCTCTCTGCTCGTTCACAGCTACAGTGTAAGTAATGCAATTAACGAGGTGCAGAAACAGCGGTAGAGCTGGAAGATGAGAAGTGAAGCAAGGGAAGCAGTCGTAACTGCTCTTGGATTGATTTCTAACAATTTGAATAGAGATTTTATGCTTTAAATAAAAACATTCCTGAATCCAGCACTGGAGTCTGTCATGAGAAAACTTGTGAGAAGGCAGCACAGCGTGGTGGGGACAGCAGAGATGGCACTGCAGAGGTGGCTGTTCCTTCCCCTCCATGTGGGCTTTAGCCCATGTGGGAACAAAGCCACAGCGTTCACCTCTCATTGCTTTATGCACACACACGCTCAGAGTGTGCAGCCAAGACCACAAGAACACCAACGAGGTGCCAAGGCTTTGATCACTCCCTCTTCCTGGCTCAGCACCACACTCTCCTGAGTTCACCTAATTAACCAGCAAGTCAATTTTACCCATTAGCTGCAGGTCATTCTCAGAAATTACAATCAAGTCTGCAGAAGCTCTGGGAACACAGGCAGGATCAGTGCCTCAGGAGAGGGAAGAACCACACTGCTCCCCTGTGTTCCAGACCACAAATTCACCTTTTGGCTGTTTGTCAGAATGAAAAGTGATGCCCAGCCAGGCAGAGCAGCTTTTCCTTTCACACCCTCCTTGTACAAGGTGGTAAAAGCAGATTCAGTGAGTTGCAAAGCTGGTGCATGGTGAGCTACACTGCAAATCTTACTGAATGCTCTGCAGGGGAAAAGTTTTACCAGGTTGTCTGCAGAGGCAGGATCAGGAAAGGGAACTGCAGTGATGGAAGGTGAGAACTGAAAAGGAACTGGACACATGGCATTGGCCCATGACACATCTGCCTTTATTTGGCTGTCAGTGAGTAAATCAAGGATCAAATTTCCAGTTATGGATGTATAGGCATATATATATATATAAAACAGGAACAGTAAGAAAATAAAATCAATAAAATTAATAGAAATTAACATGGGAGGTCACTATTGAAATCCAAAATCTAGACAGAAAATTTACTTACAAACACTGATAAAGGACACAGGTCTCAGCCTTCCAAACTCTGAAATGTTCCAAATTAATTTAGTTAGCATTTCTCCAGAATTAACTGCATCACCAGGCAACTGAGGCTCCAGAATTTGCATCTCTCTGGGAAGGATGTGACCAAAGAAATGATGGGCTGTTCCTATAAAGGAGCTGAATTCTGCCTTGGCACCTTGTAAAACCCTTCCCTGCACACACTGAGTTCTCATTAAAGCCACATCCCTGAGAATTGAGCATCTTTTACTGCCTAAGGCCAGGCTGGATGGGATTGTGAGCAACCTGCTCCAGTGGAAGGGGGGTTGGAACTGGGTGATTTCCAGTTAAGCAATGGTGCTGCAGGAACAGAAGGAATAAACTGTTCTCTGTGCTCAGCAGAGACAGGACAAAGAACAAGGAGCTCGAACTGCAGCTCAGGCCCTTGATATCAGAGTGCAAAAGGCTCCCTGCAGCAGCAGCTGGGCACTGCAGAAAACTGCCCACACAAACCACGGCAGCTTCTAAGATCCTGGAGAAGTGTGGGGAGAGCTGGGGAAAGGAAGGCTGCCTCTCACAGTCTCTTCCATCCATTTGTGCAAGGGTATAAAAATCCCAGCAAGCTTTGATTTCATCCCTGGAAAGGGACCCACAGTCCCGGCCCGGCCCCACCGAACACCCTCCTCCCTCCCATGGCCGAGGGGAGCCGAGTCCCCGCCCCTCTCTGGGGAATCGCTGCCTTTCCCCTCTGAAATTTGAATAGACCTCGCTTAAAAGACAACAGAACTCCCTTCAGAATGATTTGTTTAATGGTTTAATGAAGTCACCACTAACGCACTGCTTAAATCCAGACTTCGACCTTCTTTTTCCTAGAAAGATGGGGAAAAAAAGAGAAATCTGTGACTCCATGATGGTTTGGAATAAGCAGTTCAAAAAATGAAGCTGGCAATACGTTTTCTGCTGCATCAAACCAATATAAAATTACATGTTAGTGGAGCATCTGGGATTGAATGTGAACCCAAGAAGATTGCCAGGAATCCCTGGGGTGAGGGATTCCTGTCACCCTGCCCATGTCAGAGCAGAGCTTTGCTCAGCCCTGGTTGGGAATGCTGTGGGGCTCAGGGATTACTGAAATCTGGCTCTTGTCATTTGCCTCTCAGAGACCCCAGACTGCAAATCCCAGCTGAAACTCCTCCTGATGCTGATACACAGATTAACTCTCTTCAGCCTGTCCCCATCTCCACAAAATTCACAGGGATGGGGAAGAGGCAGAGGCACAACCACAACTGTGACTCTTCTGCTCCTTGTCCAACACTGGAGAGCACTGATTTTTATTTGCTAGGAAAAACCTCATCCAAAAATCTCAGCACTTTTGTTTATTTCTCCAGCTGGCACAGAGAGGAGGAGAAAACAAATGAAAGAGGCTTAAAAAGTGGATTTTTGATAAACTAGGAATAAAAAATAAAAGAAGATACCATAGACTCAGAATGTGGATCCCTTTCCAAAGGTGGAAAGGGATCTCTGGAGGTGATCTGGGCCAAACCCCACACTCAAGCATGGTCACTCAGGACTGTGTCCAGACAACTTTAGAATATCTCCAAGGATGGAGACTCCACAAGCTCTGAGACTGTCACAGTGAAGAAGTGTTCCCTTCTGTTCATTTGGAAAACAATATTCACAAATGCAGGAAGTTCACAAAAGCAGGCAAGCTGCTCCACATGCCAGCTTTATTAATGTTTTCTATAAATCATTAAATGTGCAGTTTGAGTTTAAAAAGCTGCTCATTGAATTAATTTTTCTTTTGACTCTGTTACAGCCTTTGATTAAATACTGTGACCTACTGCAGAAACTTTTCCTTTGGCACTCTCAGGTGGAGCTACACAAAACCAACAGCTACTGTGCCAATGAAAATAAACAATGTGAAATACTCACAGCTCTGTATTCCAAGAACATTTCTTTGAAAGCCAGAAAGTCTGTAAATGTGAGAAGCAGATCAAATATATCACCTGGCATTTCATCTTTGTGTTGTCTACAGAGAAAAAGAAGTTGGGGAATGAGAAAATTGTGTGAGGAAAATTTGTTATTTTTAAAATGGTACAAGGTCAAAAAGGACAAGTAGAATGATATCAGTATTTAAACAAGAATATTATTGCAGGTTATCATACAGCAAAACTGCAGCCAAATATCACCAGGCAGTATTTCCAATCCAACTCCATTGTTAAATTTATCTAAATCAAAGACCTATGAGTATCATATCAGTCCTTGAAAACCTGACCTGTTTATTTAAGAAACATTAAAAATTAACCAGATTCAAATATTTTAAGATGCTTGGTTCCCAATGACACTTGATTTTCTTATTCAAGGGGAAAACCAGTGATCTTTCAAAAGCAACTCTTCAGGGAGCAGGTTAAGCTAAAATGACCCAATGCAAAAGCTGAACACAAACCAAACTCTTCTCTGGATGCTCCACATGAAAACTGCAATTAAGGAATTCAACCACATGACTGAAACACCACCAGGCTACTGAGGTGCCTGGAAGAGTTAAGACACAACCTTTTAAGGGTCTGGCTTCAAAGTGACAAGAAATACAAAAATCCTCCAGTGCTCTCAGTCTGATTTTTCTTCCTACCCCTTCAAACCAAATATATTTCAGCAGGATAATTCAGAAATTTACAGTTGCAGGACATGCTGAAGGCAAGAAAAGTAGTCAGCCACAGCCAGCATGAACACTTCTATTTTAAGTTAAAGTAGAACCATTATCTAGAGTAAAAACAGCCAAAAATCTAAGCTTTAATCTAGATAAAAAGAACTGAGAGGCACACAACCTCAAGCAAAAGCAAAGCAGAGACTTACTGCAATGACACTGTGAAAGCAACCATATCAAACCCACGGATCCGATCGAGCAACTTCTCTTCAATGTATTTCTCTACTAAAGAGATCTGAAAAAAACCCAGACAAACCACCCCAGTAAGACCACAACAATTTCAGAGGCAGATTTCAAACAGCATCCTTACACTGACACCTTCCTGACACTGCAGATTCCTCAGGGGGTGCTGCTGGTTCTGCTCTCACACCAGCCCTGAGGCACAGAGCTGCACATTTTTTGCTGGGGATCTTGGGGAGAACAAACACTGACTATTTCTATCTAGTAACAAATATTTGTATCTAGAAACAAATATTTTTCCAGCTCATTTAATAGTACTGAATAGTAGACTGGTCTAGTTTCTTGATTATGCTTTGCATGAAGAATGTGATAGAATTATCCAATACAAGAAATAAAACAACTGGAAAAGAAGAAACTTTGTTTGCACACATGCTAAACACATTATTTACTACAGCAATTGGCTAAATTTCTATGCAAGCGAGCTACACAACTTCCAAAAAAAAAAAAAAGAGAAAATTCACAAAAATTCACAAAATTTTCCCAATTACACTTGATTTTCTTATTCAAGGGGAAAACCAGTGATCTTTCAAAAACAAGCTCTTCAGGAAGCTGGTTAAACTAAAATGACCCAATGCAAAAGCTGAACAGAACCCAAACTCTTGTAATTCTAGAAAATTTTGTGTGAAACAATGAGAAAGGACCCTAAGGCTTCAGAAAAAACCTTTTTGCTCACAGATCATGGCTGTGCTTCTGAAGGAAACAGCAACTTGTTGGGATCTGCTCCATGTAAGC